AATAACTTCCAAAAGTCTGAATATTTTTGATTCAATGTGGTTTATCTCTATGAAGAGCATGCAAATCAACAACCGGGTCCAACAACCCTTCAAAGGTTAACAATAATCTACCCACTGATTTCATAAATCATCATCACAAATCGATGTAAAACTATTCTGATTAATTGGTTTTCATACTATTTTCCCAATCAAACCTTCCTCTTCGTGATGTTTTCCAAACCCTCAAATTAGAGTCATTCGTCCGGATCGACGAGCACATTTTCAAACAAGTTCTGATCTCCTTAAAAATAGTTTTCTGATGGGAAGATATTCTTCAGTGCATAATGCTTGAACACAAATAGAGAGTTGAGGATTATTTTTATTTCTTGAAGAGAACAAAGGAGATTCGGCTGACCATATCAAACTCATCGTTAACAAAAGCTTATACAAAGCAAATTATGATTACGCAACTTTGAAGCCGTTCAAAGGGTCGTATCACGGTTATCGTATAAAATGGGTGACTGAGCACTTTTCCGCTTCCTCAGATCTCAATTTTACAGCGATATTCGAATATAGCGAGATATTTCCTTTATTTTGGTACAAAATTTGTCTAGTTTGCGACCCACTTAGTTGGGTGAAATGGCCGCTCGAGTTGCAGCACTCCCACTGGTTTTACTTCTCGTATTCTGCGGATCCGTAAAGGCTGTGAAAGAACTAATCGGAGGATTCCGGGCATTCGTTACCTTTGTTTACATGTAGTAATAACAAGTAAGTAATTCGTTCGTCCTATTAAAGTCCGAGTTTCTAGTTTGGTATATTCCAAGGTGTCGCATAACTAAAACGTAGTAGCAACAATTACAGGTCTTTCATTGTTGTTCTAAGCTTAGAGCTAATGCAGGTGCCACACATTTCTGTATGAACTCGATCTATTCTCCTTTCCATCATCGTTATAAATAAGATTTCTTCTCAACATTACTTGCCAGATTAGAGGAACTGAGTCATGACGAGGACTGAATACCAGAAAATAACTATCACAGACCAGACAGAAAAAGCCAGTTTTATTTCTCTCCTCTTCTTTCGATGGATGAATGACCTCTTCAAGATAGGAAGTCAAAGAACTTTAGAGGAAAGCGACTTCCTACCCCTTTCAAGAGAAAACTCCACCGAATTTCTCACCGAACGCCTTCAAACAAGTTGGAACAAAGAGAAAGCTGAGTGCAAAGGGAGCGGAAAAACACCAAAACTTTGGAGAAGCCTATTGAAAATGATCTCTTTTACGGAAGCAAAGATTATTTTACTTACTTATGCATTATACACGCTTCGACGCTTTCTTCAGCCTCTCTTTCTTGGTTATCTGATTTATTCGCTGATGGAAGCTGAGCCACTGAAAAACATTCTTTTGTACTGTTGTGTGGTGGCTATGGGCATTACTGAAGNAAAGAAAACTCAAGAAGAACAGAAAGACGACGCAAACTTCATCATCTTTGGCTGTCTAGTGCTTATATCCTTCATATTTGCCGCGATCAGAGCAGTTATTCTCCTTTGGGCTTCTATAAGATGCTCTAAACGCCTTCACGAAAAAATGGTAGAAACTATTCTGAGAGCACCTGTTGCATTCTTTGATTCTAACCCTGTTGGAAGAGTTCTTAATCGTTTTTCTAAAGACATAGCCTGTGTAGACGAGCTTCTACCCAAATCGTATCTATTTTCTATCCAGATGATCTTGCAAATGCTCGCTTCAATTCTTATACCCACGGTTGCCAATCCCTCGCTTCTTTTTGTTTTTGTTCCATTACTTGTTGCAGGTGTGTACATCGTTAGGTATTTCTTAGCAACTTCGAGACAGCTAAAAAGGTTAGAGTCAATAAGTCGAAGCCCTGTGTATTCGCATTTCTCGGAGACCCTAAATGGGTTGGAGACGATTCGCAGAAGTGGAAGACAGAGAGACTTTGTGGAACAGTTTAACAGGTACTTTTCAAAGTGAGAGCAAACAACACCAAAACGGTTACGGATTTTTTAAATTAATTAATAGCAACTCGGAATTTCATCATTTAAATAACAATGAAGCTCAAATTTTCTCTTTGAGGAGATGATCTACGCTAGCTTAGAAAGCAAGTATTCTCTATACTTTTCTATGGTCTCTTTTAAAGTAGCGTTCGTACGATAAGCTTTGTGGAAAGCACCCTATGTTGTTGACAGTAACCAAAAAATCAGCATTCGCGGACGTTGGAGGAAAAGAGATTTAGTATAGGTAATAACACGATTTCGAGGGGAATTTGGTGTCAAAGACAAGACCGTCCAAATTCAACAATGCGCGCGCACCACTGGTAATTTGCTCTCGTGTTACATGAAAATTGCAATCGCTTTCAGCCCATAAGAAGCGCGTAATTTTTTATGCATATCATTAATAATGAAATATATTCCTGTTGTGCAACAGATGAAAGAGGCATGTCGGTCATTTTTAAATTAAAATGGTAATTTTATCATTTTCTGTTCAGATTCCAGGATGTTCATACCCAATCGTACATCATGTTGCAAGCAAGCGAAAGATGGCTTGCTATACGTTTTACATTTCTCTGCACCCTCTTCATATGTGCAGTGGCTCTAGCGGCAATATTTGTTTCTCAAGATGCCGGTAGGTGTCTAACAGACTGATTATCTATGAATAATGCTAACAATCTGGTACTTGGCGTGGTACAATTTACGTAACATTCTGCTCGTTGA